CCTTTAGAAATTGGGGGTTTCTGCTGTATCTGTGTTATGCTTTATTGATCCAGAAATAATTTACGCTTTACCAATAAGAAGAGATGAAGTTTTGTAAGTGGGTGGTTGCCTGGGCAGTCAAATTGAGTCCTGCCACTTTGCAAGCTGTGGGAAACAGCTTTCCTAAAAGGATTTCAGTAATCGTGATTAGCTCATTAGAGTTATTGTGAGGAATAAAGTCATATAACATATGTATACCATGCAGCAGAAGTCTGACTTAGTAAGTGCTCACTAAGTGCTAGTTTCTTTCTTAGTGCTTAGCTCTACTCTTTCCCTTTAGGCTATACTATCTGTACATATTTGAAATATAATTTTATAACATTTAAAAATAATTTGGATTTCATACAATATTAAGTCATTAACTAAGACAATAGATCCATTAAGATTTTAAAATTTAAATTAGATTACCTGGTCCTTTGAGAGTTTCCTAATGAGACATCTGTAAAACACTTTCTTCCCCTTGATCTGACAGAGCTGGAGTTTGAAGATGTGCTACAGCTCGAAATTTCTCCTTTCTGCTCATCCCCAGCCTGGCCGACTATGGCAGTTTCTTTGTTCCTGTTTTTCAGTGAGAAATTGTTTCTTGAAAGCTCACTTAAAATATTGAAATAAAAAAGATAGTTTTTAAAATGAGGGTGAGGAATTGAAGGTGAAAAGAATGCTAGCTAATTATTCTACTTGTACCGAAAAGCTTCTAATCCATTATCCTCCTCAGGAGCACTCAGATCTCAAACTTCTGTGTGGTTGTTTGACAGTGTAACTCCACATACAGCATTTAAATATAAGACAACATATTATTTTCAGTGTTTTCATATTTGAAGATAAAACAAGAGAAAGCCCAACGAATGTGGTGGATTTTTGAAAGGAATAGTTATTGGGTAGCCTGCCTCAGTTAAGACATTTTAACCCTCTGCAATTTAAAATCGCCTGTTTTGCAAAGAGCGTATCTGGAAAAAGTGAGTATGAATATACTCGTGCCAGACTTGGAATAGTTACTCAGTGTTGTAAATCGGGCTCTTCTTTGCTTGGGAGAGGCTTAGCCAGTTAAGAGGATTGTAGAGGTCAAAGAGATTTACAAAATTTCAGCTCATAATCCTTCCAAACTTTGTAGCACCACCCACCTCAGTTACATCTAAGTGTAGCTCTTGTATTAGAAATTTGAGTTGGCTTAGTAGTAACTACCAATTTGTCTTTGAAATTAATTTGCTATGCACTGTCTCTCCCCATCTTTGGTAAGGAGTTACCTTTTTAAGCTGCACATGTTAAAAGGTTCTCCCCTAAGCTTTTCACCACACAGTTCTGAGCCCTTCTGTTTGAATATTATCATAAACTTTAAAATACTCCTCCCTCCAAAATTTTTTCCCCTTTGCTATTAATCTTTGGGAAATTCCCCAGGATTATTTAGCCATTAACTCAGAAGTGAATATCATTAGGAAATTGCTGCTTGCGTTTCTGTTAAATGAGAGAACTTTAGAACAAAAATGAAAGCACGTCTAACCTGGACCAGCTCTACAAAGTTGCCTAAAAGCGCTTGGCTCTTACTTCATTGATCTGCATTAACTCAGCCATGTGGAGTGCAGGCACTTGATGTCAAGGGGCCTCATTTTTTCTTTTCCTTTTGTTTCTTTGAAGACATTCTCTGTTCTGAGGTGTGAGGCACTTCCTGGATAGGAGTGAACCTTATCTCTGTCTTGCCTCATCTTTTACACACTCCTGTTAACTCCAGCCCAGGAAAGTGAGACTGGCCTGGCATGAGAAGGCACATAGCTCTAGATCCCACTTGCCAGAGCCTGTGGGCTGGGACACAGCATTGTCACAGTCACTTCCAGATAGCGTGAGCCTCTCCCCCGCCCCCGTTACATTAGTGTTGTAGCTAAATTGGGTCTCTTGTTCATGCTTCGGCTACCCACCCCTAATATAACTCCTGAGAGAGACCAGCATAGCCACACAAGCAGTGGCATTTGCCCTGGAGATTGGAGTCTGGAATGACCATCCTTACTGTGTAAAATTTACTGACATGTCACCATTTCATGATTTTTTCTTGTCTTTTCTGTAGGCCAGAGGGTAAGTAGGTGTGGCAGTCAGATCTGTTGATTGATGGTGGCTGCCTGGAAGCATGGTTTTGAAATAGTTTAGTGGGCAGTCTGCTCAACATTTCTTATCTCTGCTTAGGTTTACGGGGATGCTTTTGCAGGGTTTGGTTTTGCATTCTTTGAAAACTTGGGCTGGAGGAGGAGAGAAAGCTGTGGGTGAAGGGAGACAAGGCTACTCGTCGCAAGGACACAGACCTCAAAGCTGGCAGAGAGAAAGCAAGTGCACTTGGCTGTTTGTGAGTTGTTTCTTGTTCTTTGGCATGTATACAATAGAAAAAAAAATTCACTTTTTAAGAATTTTATTGAATGAAAGTAAACTCTTCGAGGTATGCAGGTATCGGAGCACCCTGTGAAGAGTCACGAAGAAGACTGGCCCCCTCAGTGCTCCCAGCTTGACTTTGGAGCTCAAGCACCCACCCTTATCTTTTCATGGGTCACTTGCAGTCCTGTTTCCCTATGTGATGTGTCCAAGGAGACATTATTTTATCTTTTTTTTTTCTTTCTTTAAATTGGGGTGGTAATTTCAAACCAAGTTGGAGAATGTCTGGAATATTCACATAGAATAGGCCCAGCACACGTTTTTGTGTGTGTAATAGTGAAATTCCAGTGCATTTTAGATTTTCAAAAGCAGTTTTGTCAACTCACCTCTCATTGATCTCAACCTTTATATTTTTATATTAATCTACAATATTTAGGCCGTATGAAAGCTCTTATCACCTTAAAAATGAGTTTTTATTCAGGTCTTGTAAAATCTGTAGAAGAGGAAAATGGAAGTGCCCCAGCCCCACCCCCAACAGTACAGAAGCTCACTCTCTGCTTCTGTACCCCCATTCCCGAGATAGACAGTGGGACAGTGCAGGTAACTCCACAGGATGGCAGGCTCATCCTTAGCCACCTCCCTAGCTGAGAGAAACACTTCATTTTTTATCCCTTATCCAGGGGGCTGTCAGGCAGGCAAGACCTAGATGAAGAAGGAATTTGGAGGTTTGCTACTGGTTAGAGAGTTTTTTTACCGCCTGCATCCTGAAAATGCTATTATAAAATCTATTGTATTTAGGCTACTTGAGGGGAGACTTATAAGATTACAGAATATCTTTCAGAAAAATGCATTGTGTTTTGTGTGTTTTTTTTTAAATGTTAATGGGAAAACTAAGCATCAGAGAATGATCACTAACTGGACAGCAAGATTCCCCACAGGGGAAATTCAGAGCTGGCATGACAACCTTGATCTCTAGATTCCAAGCCTTTCTTCTTTTCTACTATTGCCAGTTTGTAGATTCTAACCTCTGCTTGTGTTATAGCTAAAGGGTACTTTAACACGTATTTTGGAATTATTGGTTGTTTAAAAATTGTTCTATAAAATCATGTTTGTAATTGTCAGTTGCTTGATAATCTCTCCCCATTTCACCTTCCCCATCCCTTTAAAATAAATGGTAATTTGTCTGGTTCTCCCTTTACTTGTGATATTGAAACTTTTCGCTTGTAAGTTAAATTTGAATAAATTTTTTTATTGGCCAAATCTGCTTTTACTTTACTTTCAAAGAGTTATAGAATTTTAAATTTATGTGGCTGATACGAATCTGTTAAACTAGCTAGGAAAGGGGTCTCATGCTAGAGAGACAAAAATTTAAGATAAAAGATAATTGATGTAAGATTATTGACCATCATATTGTGTATAAAAGGAAAAACTTTAAAAACCCCCACATAATTCTTGAGTAGTTGATGGATTGGCTGCCATGTTTTATCATGAGAAATAGAATAAGCAGATTTATAATTTCTTTACCTAGTAACAAGTGTTGAAAAATAAGACCGTATTCATCCAAAGAAGGTTCTTTTATACTTTATGATCCTGAATTTTGTTTGCTTTGTGAAACTAGAGTGCTATAACCAAGGAAATGACAGACATGTAACCTTACTTTTGTTAAAACCTGATTGTGCTTTAAAAATGAAGTGGTTAGATTTTGAGTTAAGCAAATATATTTACTCAACATAGTTATGCTTTCATTGTAATAGAAATAGCTTGGATATTACTTTGACTATAAAATTTTCTCCTGTATCACATATTTGCTATTCATTATTGGGCTATATTGCTCTTTTAATGTTTAATTTATTGTCAGTTTGCACCTATTTTTCTAGTAATGCTGCTTGAAGTTTATCATATACATTGTAGTCATTAATTTGACAAAAGCGAAAGTCATCCAACCTTTTTATTCCATACGTGGAGATTAAAACTCTATATTAATAAAAAATATTATCTGTTACTTAACACAAAGCAACACAGAAACAAGAAAGAATTCTTTTTTAAATCTAGCATATGCAGCAGGGGGCACCAGATGAAGGCTAAAATGAATTCTTATATTTTAAACCAGCTACAGCTTGTATCCTGTTCATATTTAAATAACGTGGTAGTTAATTGTTTCCTCATTAGTTTTCTTAATGGTTTTAACTTCAGTTCTAAAAGCTATGCTGAAGAAGACATTGATAACAATTCTCACTTACTAATTCAAATGAAACTTCTTACAGCCAGTTTAGTAATTACACAATTTTTTTCTTAAACATATACTATTTTTAGGATTTTAAAAAGGGGAGTGGAAACTACATTTAATAAATAATTCCTTATTTAGCACAGGCATTATTATTGTGTTTTTAATACCTTTTCTACAAAATGTTTTTTCACTAATAAAAAAATGATTTAAAAGCTTAATTTTATTTTCTTTGTATGTGAGCTGAATGAATTTTAAATCTGGAAACCTGTTCCCTTTAGCTAATAAATAGTTGTGTAGAAATTATTTCCGAAACAGCTTGTGTTTAATACTGGTGGCATCATTCAGTAGTTTCTCTTTTATCGCCCTCCTCCCCATTGTCTAGTCCAATATCAAATGGAAATGATGCGGAGCCTTCGCCATGTCAACATTGACCATCTCCACGTGGGCTGGTACCAGTCCACATACTATGGCTCATTCGTCACCCGGGCGCTCCTGGATTCTCAGTTCAGCTACCAGCATGCCATTGAAGAGTCTGTTGTTCTCATTTACGGTTTGTAGGAGTTTCCTTTATTATTCTTTTCTTCCCTTAATATTATTACTACTACTATTTTTGCTCTCTGTCTTTTTGCCTCTAAGAGCAGCCTGGCAGGCCTTCTCAAGTAAATACCAACCCTGTTTCTGCAGCAGCCTCAGCAGCAGCTAAGTCTAGACAGGGTTTCCTTCTTTCTGTTTATTTTTCTTGCTATCAGAGCCCTGATGTGTACATTTTGGAATGCTGGAGTAGCTGCTTCATTTTTATTCCTCCATCTCCCCTCCCTCATTTGAAGGGGCTGGTGGAACTAGACCAGATGTCTAACAAACCCCGATTGCTGGAGTGTCTGGCTCTGTACGTGACTGACCAATCATAACACAGCGTGCCAAGTTTTTTTTATACCTCTGACAGCAGCGTACAAAACCTGGACTGTTTCTTAGCACAAAGATTTTTTTCTTTTCGGCCTATTTAATGGTGTTTCCTCAAGCTCTCCAGACCAGATGTTCTGTGCTGTATCAGAACTGTAGGCAATTTAACAGCTTTATAGCCTTCCCCCTCCCCAAACACTCACAGTTTGCCATATCTGGCAGACTTGCATATAGTTTCCAGCTGAGAAGTAAATGTAACGTCCTGAGTATCTGTCAGAAAAAATACTAATGAATACGATCAATCTTATGAGCTGCCCCAAAATTGTTTCAGTATGTTAACAATTGGATTACAGTAAAGAACAAGTTGTTAAAGTGTACTTATATTGGCTGGAAACATTGCATCATCAGACCTTGATGAATTTTCCACTTGTTTCAATCTATTTTGGTTTTCATTTTATCACCTATTGCTAAAAGTTTCACTGTGTTAAGTTTCAGACAACATGAATGTTAACACAGGTTTTAGGCGAATATTGGCATGCCGGAGCCGTTATCATGCAGCAAGTGCTAAGCTCCCTTACTCGTGGACTGTTGAAGCACTTAGTTTTGACAAAATGAGTTTCTCTAAAACTAAAAGGACACTTTTGTCATAGCACTTTGACTTTAGTGATTTAAAAAAAAATCTGCTTTAACCAAGAAATTTTAATAGTGGATATTAGCATGGGTAAGTTTTGTTTGTAGGGCTGTTCATTTAAATTAGTTGACTGAGGAACCACACAAATGCATGCAGTGAATTTTAATATTTAATATTCATCAGTATTTTCCTTCTAGTTACAACAGATGGATATAAGATATATAGGACATATCATACATTAATTGTCATCATGATGACTGGTTCCAGCTGTGGAAGTTACTCTGCCTATTACAAGTGGGGTGATAGGCCCCTCCGTTTCCACTTCCTGTTTGCTCTGCTGGTTTGAATCTGTTTCACATTGTGCTCTGATTATTTATTTTGATCTTCGTTTTGAAAAGATTATGTGCTAAGTAACAGAATGTGCCTAGAACCCGTGTCAATCAATCGCTGGTAGTGACAAAATCCTTAGTACATTTTTTTCTCTTTTTCTCATTTGAGATCCCATAAAAACTGCCCAGGGGTCTCTCTCACTGAAGGCATACAGACTGACTCCTAAACTGATGGAAGTTTGTAAAGAGAAAGACTTTTCTCCTGAAGCGTAAGTGTTCGGGGGCCTATAAGGCATACAGTAGAGGACTGGGTGTGTTTCTTTTAAGACTTTAGTTTGTGACATTTATTGAATCCTCCGTGGTGTGGTAATACTTTTGCTATGTGGATGGTAGAAGTTTTCTGCATGGCCGAGTGCTACTTGATTTCTCCCTTTCCATGTTTAAACTGTTCTTTATGGAATGTCTCATATGTTGTTCCTCACCAAGGGCGAATTCAGTTGGAATGGGCATTAATTAGCTACTGGGTTTGAAGAAATAAGGGATTAAAATAAAGGGAGATGGACTGAACAATCAGCAGCTATCAGATTGTAAACTCTGTGTCAGTCCGGTTGTGAGCTGTATGTCTTATTTTCTGAGCTATTTCATGGTGGGGGGGCAGGGGAGATAACATTTTAAGGATTCAGTAAGGAATGTGGCTTATTGGAAATGTTATAGGTGACAAGTATGCATAGAATTAATCAATATAGCTCTTTTGTGATCCTACACAATGGCATTGGAATATTTATGTTAAATTTTTAGAGAAATACTCCAAATTCTTTCATTTTCTGTTTATTATAGGAATTCTTATTTCTTATTAAAGTTAGTGGCTTTAACTTCATGTAGGACAGACAGATGGTTCATTGCTAGTTTCCCTTTTGAAATTAAGGGAAAGGAATTTAAAAAGAAAAGCTAACTCATGAAGAGTCTCTAGATATGGTAACTGTAACTGAACTATGAGAAGTTGCATTCTTGCTTAGTTCTGAAGCATTGAATGTGCAGTGTTCTGTGAGTAGCATTCTGCTAGTTGTTAATCTCTTCAATTCAGTAGACTTTTAAAATCAAGTTGCCAAGAACTTGAGTATTTCTTTTTTCTAGCTATTTATTTTAAATGTTTTAGAGATTATATAGCATAACTTCCTGTGACATTTACATTTTATTATCAATGGCATTTTGAAGATACCTGATTATAAAGAAAGAATTGTTTCTTTTGCCAAGAATCTTATTTTCTGGGCTTGTAGCTCAAACTCAGATCATTTTCAGTTATTCAAATCTCTCGAGTTATGCTCGACTGTAAAACATTTTCTTCCATTCTAGAGAGTACTAATGAAACAAAGATCCTGGAGAGGGCTTGTAATTAGGGGAAAATGTATGAAATAGTCAATTTAACATTTACTTCTGACCGCCAGACTAAAGTATTTTTAACACGCTTCACAGATTGAAAAAGGGAAGTATCACCTTCGAGCACATGTTTGAAGAGGTGCCGATTGTAATTAAAAATTCACATCTGATCAACGTCCTAATGTGGGAGCTTGAGAAGAAGTCTGCTGTAGCAGATAAACATGAATTGCTCAGTCTTGCTAGCAGGTAAGAGGCCTTGCCTCATGAAAAGTCCCTTTTTATCACTTTCTGCAAAAAGACTCTAACCTACAAAACAAGAAAAAAATTACTTAAGCACATTTTGAGGTTACTAAGACAAGTAACAACATGTAGTACTTGTCCTGCCTTTCTAAGATCCCAGGAAAAAAAACGCTGAACTGATAAAGTGAGACAGTATTTGAATACTAATAGCTCCTCTTCTCGGAACCCTCTGCTGCCTTTGCTGGATCCTTTTTGCTCTGATAAGATAAATGCCCGCAGGGGAGGATTTTGTATTTGGCTCAGCATTATTTATTGTACACTGCCCTCAGAGGCTTATGGTATTACGTCTGGATTTTTAATAATGCTCGGGAGAAAAACAAAAGTACTTTTTTGTTTTACTGGTGGTACTTTCCCCTCTTCAGATGCAGACTTTATTAGCAGAAAACTTCCCGTTTGAATTTCCAACTGAACTTAGAATTTTCTGGACCTGGCACTCTTGCTATCTTCTGCAGTGGTGACATAATTTCCTGTGGCTGCTTTGGCTATCTGGTTGCTAAGATTATTTATGATATTGGTAAAATGCTGACTGAAGTGTCCCAAAACAGATTGTTTCCTTTATGGAATTACTGTGTTGTTCCCCCCCCACCCCCATTTATTCTCTTAACAGAAGAATGAATAGATTCCTATATATAACTTCTGGTCAAAGCCCTTCAGGCTTGATGTTAGTGATGGTTTTGTGGTGGGTGAAGGCTAACAGCAGACCCATAGAATGAAATTAAATGGACAGAGTTGGTTGTCAGTCAATATGCATTTGTTGAAATGCTGAAAGAAACAAAGTGTGTTTTCTTAAGCAACCAGTTTGAAACAGAAGCTTGATTATTGATCAGATTCCCAGTTATCCCAGATAGAATTGTGTACAACAGAACAATGTCAGATTCACCGTAAGACAAGCGGGATGAACCCAGAAGACCAGAGAGCCCAGTGTCTTCTCCAGGCTCTGGATGGGGAGAACTGTGGTTGAAGTGCCACCTTTCATGGCATGAATGCACCACAGAGGCCAAGAAAGTCTTTTCAGGGGAAGGAGAAGGAAATGGGATAGTGAACGGAGTGCTAAGTGAGGCAGCCAGGTTGCAAGGCTAATTTGGCACTAAAGAATGTACTGTGTAACTGCAAACATATTCATAGTAGTTCTTTAATTCGTCTCTTTAAGAAGGTTGTATTTTTCTTTACTGCTTTTACAGACCCACTCGGCACACCTGTATTTAAAGCTTGGGGCTAAGAACCTTTTTCAGCAATGCAGGGTTACAATTTGATGAATTAAGTATATAGTTATATAAAAATTTTAAATTTACTACGTGAAAGCTTTTGCTTATATAATTTATGTCTTCACCTTTTCCCAAGCTTCCTTTATTGAGCATACAAAACACATATAGCCCTGCTATGCTTTAACATTACCAGTGAGCTGGCCTGTGATATCTGTTTGTCTAAAACATCAGTTATAATGGCCAAGAAAACATTCCCAATTTGCCATAGCTGCTAAGATCTAGACAGATACTTTATTATAATATTTGTCTTCTGTATTTTACGGGAAATAGGAAGAGAGGCCCTTTGCTCTCCGTGTTATTTTAGGGGAAAATTGGTGTTCCTGTTGGGAGAAAAACATGAAACAACCTTGAAGCAGAGCTTACACCAATGGACTGTTACATTGACCCAAACTGATAATACTACTTTAAAAACTTTGTTCATCTCAAATTTTAATTTATAACATTAGGCCAGTTGCCATAAACTTTTTTCTAAGAAAATCCGCGTCAGAAATCATTCTTAAGTAGCTCCTTAAACATTTTACTTGGTCTTGCTTTTCACAACCCACATGTGGATGCCAGTTCTTTGATTTACCTGACAAATTTGTCTGTGCTATGAATAAAACATACTACAGTCCCTTTCATTAAAAAAATTCTAACTTTTAATTTTATTAGATGAAAGTTCTAGTAATGGCTATTTTATAACAGCTTTTATTAATTTTTTAAAAATGTGTTACATAAGCCTTTAGCTTTGCACACATGAAAAAAAAATATTTTATTTCCTTTTTTAAAAAGTAAACGAAGGGTAGGTATCATACGTTAAGGATAATAAGGATAAATTAGTGCCCTAGCCAGAGCCCACTTATCACTGCATGTCTTGGCTGACATCTGTTTAAGTTATCTGTGTTCAGTTCTTTGTTTCCTTGGCAATAAAAGAAAAGGCCATTTTATTGAAACTCCTAACAATAACTCCCTGTTTCAGTATTCTAGTTGAACTGGTACTGAAAAGATCCCCATAAAATTGCCCTTGGTAATGGGCCTGTGATTTCCTGATATCTGTGAAGTAGTTATGTATTACACTTAATTTCTTTTGCATTACAAGGAATATTGTGCAGATTTTTGAGTCTTTTGTTTATTTGTGTTCTTTCACTATAATTCTGTATACCTATAATACATAATAATAGTACTTTAAAGACATTTTTGGTGGAGAGGAAGGGTCTCTTCTAGTAATACCTTTCTCATTGCTGCAATCAGTATAGTCAGCCTCCAAGATTTAAGCTCTGGGAACAAATACTAGATCTTTCTCTGCAGAGACAGTAACCTGCCTTTGTGGTTTTCTCCACTGTCACTGGGCACCCCTCTTCTCACCTCCCCAGTTGCCTGGTCATAGGATTGATGGTGATCTTTCTCTTTTCTGAATTCCTGTTACACTTAAGGACATAAATGACTATTTAACAACTATAATCCTATAGTTAATTACAGCATTTCTTGCATTTAATATCATTTTGGGGGCCTCACTTCTTCCCTTGGTGAAAATGAAAGGGTCGGGGCCTTCCATTAGGCCAGTCAATCCTTGCCCCTCCTGCCTTCTCATGATCTGACTTGTTTCTCCGCCCTCCTTCCTCAGATAGCTTCAGTTCCTCTCTGTGCTGGTTCTTTTCTACTGTTTATTGACTTATTTTTCCCAATTGTAGAAAATGTTGAAAATGTTCAGCTATACAGAAAAATTGAAAGAATAAATGATACAGTGAACACCCGCAACCCTTCACCTAGAGTCACCAGTTGTGTATCTTGCCACATTTGCACCGGCTCCCTATCTATATACATAAAAACCATGTACTTTTCCCCCTGAATCATTTGAAAGAACATTGCACGCATTGACTCTTAACCCCTAAAGACTTGAATGTGCATCTCTTAGGAATAAGGACATTTAAACTTGTTTAAGTCTGTCTCATCTTAAAAAGCAAAATTACAGAAAGAATATCTTTTGACCCCATGCCAGTATTATCCATTTTCTTTAACCTTTTGCTTCATTTCTTTTTTTTATAGGAAAAATTTTTAATAGAATTTTCTACATGTATGTTTCCTCACTTTCCACTCACTAGGTGTAGTGCTCTGTCCATTCTGTGTTGTTAGAGCTCTCACTAAAGTCACAGAAGACACCTTTATCCCATTCATTAGATTACCAGATGTAATACAGAGTCTTTTAGGTTCTTAAACATTTAATGTGTTGAAAATCTTTCTTCCCGAAATACTTTCTTTGGAGTGTGAAATCTCAGCTCTCCCGGGATACTCCTCACCCCCAACAATGAGCCCTCTTCTGTTCATCCCTTAGCCTCAGCACTCCTGTTCTGGGCGCTTATTATAAACAGAATCAAACAGTAAGTGGCCTTCTATATGTGTTTGCTTTCTCTTGGGGTATTCTTCTAAGTTTCACTCTCATATCAGTGCTGCATTCTTATGACTCAGTAGTATTCTGTTGTACAAATAAAGCACAATTTATCCCTTCACCCTTTGATAAACATTTGGGGTTTTTCCACTTTTTGGCTGTTATGGATAATGCAGCTATTAACATACATGTATAAGCTTTGGTGTGATCATGTTTTCATGGAGTATATACCGAGGTGCAGAACTGCTGGGTCATCTATTAACTCGATGTTTAACTTTTTGAGGAACCATCAAACTGTTTTCCACAGCAGCTGCAGCATTCTTTTTATTCCTACCACAGTGTGTGAGGATTCCAGTTTCTGTACATCCTTGCCAGCAGTCCGCAGTAGACTCTTAACTGATTTCCTGGTTTCTGCTCTCCAGTTTGTTCTCTGCATAGCCAGAGTGGTCATTTTTCTTTTTTTTAAAAATTGATTTTTAGAGGCAGGGAGGGAGGG